GATTCTTTATGTAAATGCAAGTGATCATTATGATTTTCAAAGCTAGGTTCAACCAAATTACAATGGATTTCTAAAACATCAAAAGATCTTAATTTAGGTAACTTAATTCCTTTAATTAAAGTGTCTGGTTCAATCATTTCATCCTTTAAACCTAATAAATCAGTTATAATAGCTGTTACTATAATTTTAACAGGTGATTTTATCACAATAAGAGAACCCTCATTTTCTAATAAAAACTCATTTTCATCAAAATTATCTGCTTTCTTTTTAAATTCTTTTAAGCTATTTTTAAAGTTTTCTTTTATAGTTTCTAATGTGTGATATCCTTTGTTTAAATTAAAATATTGATTTATTTCTTTTTCACCATTCTTAATAGTAAAACCATATACATTTTTATAATCATTTGGTACATTTAATACAAAATTATCTGAATAAAATCCACAAAGACCAATACTATAATTTCCATCCAAATGAATTGGATGTTCTAATCTTAGTTCAATCTTTGAAGAATTGCCTGTAATTTTAAATAATTTCATCTTATTTAAATGGAAAATTTTTTAAAGGAAAAAAATAAGATAAAATTTGATACATATGATGAAAAAATCAAGAATAATCAACCAATTAGATTGTTAATAATAGGATCAAGTGGTTCTGGTAAAACAACATTACTATTAAATTTCATCTATAAAAGATTGATACCATACACAAATTTATATGTTTTTAGTAAATCACTAGAGCAGCCTGCATATATAAAATTACAACATAGATTTAAAAATATTGAAATGAACATTAACAAAAAAGTTGCAAATTTCTTTGGTTCATGTGAAGATATAATTTCATTAAATGATTGTAAACCAAATTCATTAATTGTTTTTGATGATTGTATTTTAGAAAATCAAGATAAAATAAAAGAGTATTTTGTAATGGGTAGACATAAAAACATATCATGTATTTATCTTTCACAATGTTATTCAAAAGTTGACATTAAATTGATAAGGAATAATTTAAATATGTTATGTATTTTTAAGCAAAATAATCATTATATAAAACAAATTTTTGATCATTTTGTAGGTTCTGATATGTCATTTAATGAATTTAAGGATATTTGTAATGATTGTTGGAAAGAAAATTATGGATTTTTAACTATGAATTTGTTATTAAAAACAAATGAAGGAAAATATATGAATAAGTTTTCTAATATAAAATTTTCTTCTAAATAAATGTGGTGTATGCTTGATTTAATTGTTGATAAAGTATTTGTTATAATAATATTTGCCTTATCTTTAGTGTTTATTTTTCCTATTAAATTTACAGAAAATAAAAAATGATGTGTTTGTGTTTAATTTTAGATTTACTTATTATTTTTGTTTTATTTATATTAATCATTAGTGTAGTGTTGATTGTGCTTAATCGACATAGTTTATGTTTATGTTAACATGGTTTATGTTTATGTTAACATCATTTATGTTTATGTTAACATATTTTTTCTTTTAATAAATGGATAACATAACTGTTGACAAAGCTAAAAAGTTAGATGAAATTGAAAAAAAAATTAATAAAAGAATTTAAAAATCAGATTAAAATTGATGAAAATTATGAACAAATTAAACAAAAAGCATATGAACCAATAACATCTGCAATTGGTAAAGTAGAAAATAAAATTGGTGATGTTTTAAATGAAAATAAAAATTTAATGGATTTAGTACCTATTGTTAATCAATTTGCAAACATATCAATACCACAATCTGAAGAAGAATTTATGTTACCTTCAAGTACTCCATTTAGACCAATAAGAGAACAAATTATTGAAGAAGAATCAACATTTATAGATCCAAATATTGTTTCACCTCAAATATTAAATAAAATCATTGGTCCAATTGCACAAAAATATTTACCTAGAGCAAAAGATGATAAATTTGGTTTGTATTGGGATAAACATAAAAATCATTTATGATTGGTGATAAAATAACAGTAATTGATAATGATGATTTACTTGTTAATGGTAAAACATATACTGGCACTCAAGGTTTATGGAGATTATTGACATATAAAGACAAACCAGATGATAATTTATATAGTCAAGATGATTTAAATAATTACTCAAAAATTTTATGGGAAACAGATTCAATTTATAAAAATAATGATCCAAGTACTAGAAAACCAAAATCAAGTAAAGGTAATAAATATATGAATTTGATTAAATTTATTTGGGATTCTAAAGGAAATATTGAAGGATCTGGTATAAGAAAATATTCAGAAAATAAAATTGAATACAGATATATTGATGATTTAAACAAATTAGAAAGTATAATCAATTATATATATGCTCAAGAAAAAGCTGGAAATAATAACTTTATCAATGAAAAAAGGGCTATTAAAGATTTTATTTCAAACAAATTAGATGAATTAATTGAAAAACCTGATGGTATAAAATATTTAAAAAGAATATTACCAACTATAACATCACCAATTATAGGTTCAGGATTATTAAATGATTTTATAAATAATTTACCATTTGAATTGCATGTACCTGGTTTTCAATATCTAGGACCTGGAACTAAGCTACAAAAAAGATTAAAAAGAGGTGATCCTGGAATAAATGATTTAGATAAAGCTGCTAAAGAACATGATATATTTTATAGAGATCATAAAGATACAGAATCTAGAAATGATATTGCTGATAAAATATTACAAGATAAAGCATGGGATATAGCAACATCTAGTAATCATGATATAGGTGAAAGATTAGTTGCTTTACCAACATCAGGTGCTATGTGGTTAAAAAGAAAATTTGGAATGGGATTAGAAATAGGATTAAAATTTTAACCTATATAAATGGAGAAAGTTAAGATAAATTTAACTGATTATCAAAAATCTAAAATTAAATCTGCTTTTAAGAAAAATAAAAATTTGACTATACAATTTGAAATAGATCAATTTAAAAATGGTAATGATATATTATTATTAACTAAAAGACAATTGAATAAATTAGAAAAACATAAAAAATTAAATACTGGATTAAGACTTGAATTTTCTTACAATCAACTTAAACAAATAAAAGATGGTGGTTTATTAAATGAAATATTAAATGTTGCTGATTATATTCCTGGCATAAATAGTTTAACACCAAAAGTTAGAAGAGGAGCTAAAGTAGTAAAAGACAATGTTATTCCAAAATTTAGAGAATTTATAAATTGGTTAGATCAAGAATTAGCTAATGTAAAAGGATCTGGATTAGATAAAAAAACATTAAAATATGTTAAGAAAAAAATTTCAACCCATTGACTTTAGCTGATTTAGAAAAATTATGTCAAAATATTAAGAATTTTAGAGGTGTTTTTATGAGAGATATGCTTCCAAAAACTGTTAATAAATTTGAATGTGGTATAGTCAATTTAGATTCATTTTCTGGTAATGGAACTCATTGGATATGTTATTATAAAAAAGATAAAATTAAATATTACTTTGATTCTTATGGAAAAATTGTTAATAAACCTTTTAAGGAAATTGTTAAATATTTAGGAAAAGATAATATATTTTTTAATGATTCACAAATTCAAAATTATGATGATCCACCTATATGTGGTCATTTGTGTGTTTTTGTATTAAATGAGTTGAATAAAAATACAAGATTTGATAACATAATCAATAAATTAATTCTTAATAAATATGGATTCATTAAATATATTTGATCTATTTGGTAGACAGAAAAAAGATTTAATTGAAGTAAAAAATGATTATATTAATTCAAAATTAAATTCCATTTTTAATGATATTAATAAGGATTTAAAAAACCATATTAAGAAAACTAATAATTTGGTTAATGCTATTAGTTTATCTAAAAATTATTTAAGTATTAATTCTAGAAGAATTGTTAATGTAAAACCAAGTATTAATGATTATGATGTTGTTATAAAATCTGAGTTAAATGAAGTTTTAAATTCTATTATTAAGGTTGGTAATGATCATTCAAAAACTAAACAGGATTTAAATGAATTGGTTAATTCATTATTTAATCTAAAAATGTATGTTGAAGATTTAGAAAAACAACTTGAAGATAAACTTGCTGAAAAAATAAGATTAGTAACTGCTGGATTAGCACAAATATTAGAAGATAAACTTAATACAGAAAACCAAGAAGATCAATAATTTTTACTATATAAATGGAGTTTATTTACTGTCTTAAATGTAAACAAAAAACCAATTCTAAAGACATTCAAACAATAAAATTAAAAAATAAAAATATGGTTAAAGCAAAATGTTGTATATGTAATTCAAAGAAAAGTAGTTTTACAAAAATTTCCTCCTAATAAATGGCTCTATATAATTCATTTGATTATTTCATTATCAGAAACCAATTTCTATTAACCAATGAAGATTGGGATATTATTTCAGAAAAATATGAATTGAATGAAGATATGATCAGATTGTTTCAAAATAAACTAAATTGGGAAAAAATTGCACAATATCAAACATTAAGTATACAATTTATTGATGAGTTTATTAATTATCAACTTAATGCTTATATTAATTTGGTTTGTAAGTATCAAAATTTAGATGAAGATTTTATTGATAAATATAAAAATGATTTGGATTGGGAAATAGTGTTACAATATCAAAATATATCAGCAAAATTCATCATAGATCATGCACTGAATATTGAACAGTTTAAAGAAAAAATAGATTATGACGAGATTGATTAAATTATTCCAAAAATATTTATAAAACTATTCTTTATTACAAAAATTTTACTGGTTTTAAAAAACCTTTTTCTTTCCATATTTTTTTCATAAATTTCTCCTTAATAAATGGCTAATACTTATGAAATTGAAAGAGCTGAATATAAAAATTTTTA